CCCCGCATGGGGGCTCTCCGGGCCCCCCGGGCACGGCGACGGCGCGGGATTCGGCCCGCGAGGAGGGGGGCTCACCTCGGTCACGGCGTCGAGGCCGCGGGGGTACCACGGCGGGATGTTCTCCTTATTCTCCCGCATCACCCGGTTCGTGAGGTTGCGGAAAAGCGGGAGGTCGGCGGTCTTCGCCGGGTTCGCATCGGAAGGGAGACGCGACATGAGAGGGGGAAGGGCGCGCCGGGATCGCTCGCAGTCGGGGCACTTCTTGCTCGCGAGACAGGAGAGTCACGACCGCGTTGGGATGGGAGGGATCCGAAGAAGAGAACGGCGGTGTAATCGTGAATGCGGTCGCTTTCTCGGCGCGAATGAGGGGAAACAATTCCGAACCAAACGCGTTATCCAGAGCGATCTTTATTGATCTGGGAACTAAGGGGACACAATCGACAGTTTTATAGGGGATTCGTGAAGAAACCAACGCGACTCCTCTGATTCTATATAGTCTACGCGGCTCAAACAGTCCGGAAGGTGAAAGAGCCGGGGTAAAATAAGGGATTGAGATATTAGAAAGCCCAAAGGATGAAAGGAATAGCTCTAATAGGATAATAGACTATATAGGCAATAGGATAAAAAATATCTCAACTAAGCTTGGAATCTAGTGCCGAAAACAAACAAAAAGGGAAGCAGTGGAAAATACAAAGCATCATACAATGACACTCTCATAAACAAAGGAAATTAGGAATACAGAACATTCTGAGCAAAAAATGACGCATAATATAAGGATTCAGTAATTTATGAAAAGTATTAATCGAGTCTGCTTCATCTTAACCGAGAATGTTAGTATTTAGTTAACGTCATCCAACCACTCCTAAAGCAATAATAATATAAAGAAGAGAGATTAGATCGCAACTTCAACTCATTTGCCCTCCTTTTTCACATATTGCTAGCCACACACATGCGTGTTTGCAGGATAGACAGAAAAAAGCACTACCGGCAAACCTCTTGACGAGAAATTTTATCTCAAGCACTTCGCCGGAAATGCACCCTTTTTCCCATCTCCCAACCCTCATGATTCATCTCAACCTGGAATCCTTCTGCTCAATCGAAAAACCCGTTACCGCCCGCATTCTTCACCTGGCGGCGTATTTTTTGCTTATCACGGCCTTTTTGAGTGTTTCTGCGCAATCCGTGGTTGAAATTACGGTTATCTTGCCTACGAAGGTCTCTTCGAACCTGGTCCTGGATATGCTGCTCATTAATTCTACCGTCAGGCAAAAAGTTCGCGTTGAGATGATGATCAGGCACGCTATACGCGCGATCTAACTGATTCTTCGCCATGGCCTGATCAAGGGAATCCCTGTCGGATTCATCGCTTCCCGACGGGGTCGGACGGCCCCTTGGATCCCCACCTCCAACGATATTAAAATCGCCTGAAGCGCTTAGATCCCTACTTTCACGAATATCACCAGGTGGGACGGAATCCGCATTCGCTTGATCCCCCTCCTTGTGTAAGGAATCTCGGTCCTCGGAGGACGAAACGGACGCGTCCTCGTCGCTTGAATCCGAAGACGCCTTAGCTTCCTCGCCGCGCCCGGCAAAGGCCTCCTTCATCATGCGCTCCAAATCCTCCTGATCCTTCTTCGTGAAGTGCCCGCTTGCGAGCACCCGCTTGTCGAGCTCACTCTTCCGCACGACGTCCTTTTCCAAGCTCGGAAAGTACCGCGCGTTGACCTTAAAGCGGCGCTGAAAGAAGTTCGCGAGGTTCAGCACATCTCGATCGAAGAGCTCATCCGCGTTCGGGTGGTTGATCGAGACCATCTGCGGGAAGTCAATCATCACGACATGCTGATCGTCCGTGATCATCAGGTTGAACTCATTAAAATCGCCGTGAATCAGTCCCGCCTCGGCGAGCTTCACCATGAGGTCGAGGCACCGCCGATAGACTGTCTCCGCATCCCCGAGGTGGAGGATGTTGTTGAGCAGCGTCCCGGGCACGAGCTCCATCAGCAGGGCGTGGCGGTTCTGATCGATCGGGCGGGGGACCGGGAAGCCCTCCTCGTAGAGCGCCTTCATAAACGAAAACTCCTTTTGGCTCGCGAGGCGGGAAAGGTAAAACCAGCTCTCCCCGTGCCGCGCACGGCCCCTACCTTTGTAATCCCGATTCCGCATCACGCTGCGAAAGGAGCACCGCCCGAGGCGCTGCAGTTTCAGCACGCAGGGCTGCTCGAGGGCGTCGTGGGCGAGGATGATGTCGGATTCCTTCCCGCAGCCGATGCGGTGGCCAACTCCCACGCAGCTCCCTCGTTTCCGCAGCGTCCGAAGCGCGAGGAGGTCGTACGCGGCGTACTTCATCGCATAGCCGTCGTACGCGGTGTTCTCGTGGTGGAGGAGCTTCTGCTTGAGCATCTCCTTCAGCCGCTTGCGGCAGCCACCGTGGGGGAGCTGGGCGATCCGCTCAATGAGCGCGGTCGGCGCCACGTCGTGATTCCGCATGCTCATCTCCAGCGCCGTCAGGATCCGAAAATCCTCATCCTCCATAAAATTCAACAGTGAGACGTCGAATTTCACCATTCCTTCGCTGTGTGGTTCAGTGGGGTTGCGCAAATAAGCGAAGATAAGCTATCCCGTCTAGTGTTTTGAAACCCGCGCACTTCAAGAAGAGTCTGAAAGCTAAAGGAAAACCCACCACATGGGGCAGGGGGGAAACAAAGGGAAAGGTCAATTCAGGTCGAGGGATATATCACAGAAAATAGAGGGAAAACCAAGAATATGTCAGTAAAAGTATCAATTAAACGTAAATAGGTTAATTCACTCGAAATGCACCTGTAATCTCTTTCATCTCAATTTATTCGAAAGGGTAGGAAAGCTTCCGACCACCACATCCCCTCTCAGGATTGCTGGTTAAAGAAACCCCTTTCCCTAGCCCTACTGATATCAAACACGATTACGATGTCAAACTTATCTCTTTTTCTCTATATGTATTGAGATTAAAAAGGATGGATTAGTATGAGTGGATAAAAGCCAAATCCTAGGTTCACCATCACACAACCATGATCCATGAAAACAAAAAGGGATTCGACCCACCAAATCTTTAGTTAGTAAAGATATCTTGACAATCAGTATTTCTTCTTTTTACCAAACAATGCTGCCATTCGCATTTGATCCAATTTTTGCATTTTATTCATCGGGCGTATCTCATCGGTAGGTGGCTGTGGTAAAGCGGATTGCAGAGCTCCATCCGCCGCTGGACTACCATCGGCATTTGAAGAATCGCTATGCGACCGCATCTCATTCATTCGCATCCGCTTTGCTTTCTTCCGCGATACTGAATTCGCAGAAGTGGTGATAGTGGTGGTATTGGAATCGAGGACTACACCACTGCGAGCGTTAGTATCCGGATGCTCAGCCAAGCGCTTTTTGAAATCCATTTTAGATCCCTTCGAAAGCTCACCCTCAGCCTTTCCTGCCGTCGTCATCACGGCGGAATGTTTTGGATCCGACGATGGGGTCGTGCGCCTGCCCTTATCGAGGACCGCCTCATCCGCATCGGAGTCGTTCTCGGATCTCACGCCGTTCTCCCTTTGACGACCCTCTTTGCCGGCGAGCTTCCCGAGGGAAAATGACTCGACGGCCTCCGGTTCCGTCGCGTCGCCGCGCTCCCGGCGGATCCGGAGGTGGCGTGGAACGAGCTTCCGAAGCGACTGCTGCTCGCGAAGATCCATGGCGAACACCCCACCCCCTCCCCGCCCGTCGGTCGCCGTCGGAGAGGCCAATGAGGCCTTCCCGAGCGCCTCGCGATCGCCCG